GGGCCCGCGCCGCGCTCGTGCTGCCCGGGGGCGGGGAGAGACCCTGCGTGCCAGCCCCCGGGCAGGGCAGCCCGAAGCCGCACCTCGCTGACCAGGAAGTAGCCCTGGAGTTGTTGCCCACGTGCAGGTGGCCGTGGGAGCCCTTTTTGAACGTGGGTGGCTGAGGATTTGGCTGGGGTGGCCGTTTATTGCGCGGTGGTGCGATATAGGGAATGCGTGGCAGGATCCGCAGGCTTGAAGGCAGCTGCGCCGGCTGGCTGGGCGCTTTCTGAACCCTCCGCACCTGGAAAATGGGTCTAGCATTTTTTCTGTAATCCCCAAAAACCCTAAAAGCAGAGGGACAGCAAAGAGCTGGCACTTTCCCAGGCTGCGTCGTGAGCTGTTGCTCTAGGCCGGAGGCTTTCAAGCTGTTGGGTCCCCCCTTGGAGGGAGGGGAGTGAAGGAACATAGGAGCGCAGGCAAGAATTGTGCAAGGAGCCAGCGCCGCTTGCGGGGGTGGGGAGTCCCAGGCAGGCTCTGTCAGCGGGATGCTGCGCCTCCAGGAGGGCGACGTGGCGGGCGTACAGCTTAGCGCCGCAGCAAGGCTGAGGCAGCCTGCCAAACCAAGCTGTGGTGGCTGCTAAGATGAGGGGTGCCCTGTGCCTGGCTGCGCTGTTCCTGTGGGGTGGGCTGGGGTTGGGTTGGGCGGGGCATGAGCAAATTTGTAAGGGAAAGGAGGGCTCAGCTCAAAAAGTTTGAAGACCGCTGCTCTAGGCCAGTGTGGGAGTGCCCTGCCCTGTTCCCACTTGCAGGCTTGCTAGGCACTCGCCGTGGTCCTGCCCCCAAGGAAGGCCTGTCCCACCCAGCGAGGGCATGAAGACCATCCTTTGCTTGCTGGAATTGGGTGAGCCTGGGCAGCAGCATCAGGGGAGGTGTTGGGGGCCTGGAATTAGCACCCCACACATCTCCAGGGGCTTGTGGTCATGTGCAGTTTGCTCTGAAGCCTATGCTGCTGCTGTTCCCCAGGCTTGCTAGATGTGAGTTATTGCCGGTGCCTCTCCCTGAGCTGAAAGGACTCCTTCCTGTGCCTGGGCACTGGCAAGTGCTGCCAGAGTTGGAGGAGGGCTCAATTTCTGACAGTCATGAATATGCTACTTCAAGTCCTTTCCTGTGAAAGGATTTGAGCCATCCTTGTTCTAGTGAGATGCTGAAAATCTTGCTCGGAACATGAGAGCAAAATTATTCCCTGCCAAGTTATTTAATTTCTCCAAGCCTCCATTTCTCAGCTAGGAGAACTGTGAAGATCCATGTCCGTTTTTTCTCCAAGGTACTTTGAAATCTTTGTGTAAGTGAATGGAAGATTCTGTTACTGCTCAATGGTTAATAATTAAAACAAACAAAAACCCCATCGCTGCCCTAGATGCCCATCTGTATGGCAGAGAAATGCCCATGACTAACTGCTTTCATCACTAGATGCAGACCTTAAAAATTAAAACGTCTTGCTTTTAAAATAGTAATGTACAGCAGTAATTTACAGCTACATAGTGATTGCCACCTAATAGCAGTCTCAGCTTTTTATATAGTTATACCCTCTTTCACTAGCTACTACAAGACTGTCCAGCTGGGAGCCTGTGAACCACACACAGCCTTCGAGAGGTTAAAGTGTTGTCCCTAGGCTCCTGCCTGGCAGCTGCTCCCCAAATCATTCTGGCTGAATGCATTCAGAGTCTCCAAGCTCTAGTTTTCACTGTCTGCCCTTGTGCCAGGGGATAGAGAAGTGCAGCATGGTGTGGTCCCCGGGAAGCTGAGGATGAGTTTGGAGCTGTGTGTGTGAGCAATGCGATGGTGGTGGAGTGGGAGGGGGAGGCCCTGCACCAGTGTACGGTGCAGTGGGGGGTGGGGTTTAACAGTGCAGTGTAGTGCTGTGGGGTGGCATCTGGTGGTACAGCAGCTGGGGTGTCCATGCAGCATGCAGCCTGAGGGGCCTGTGGCTTGCCCTGGGCCCATGGTGTCCCCCCTCCGATGTGGCCCATGGGCATTTGGCTCCCAGCTGCTTATAAATTGGACAGCCATGAGTTATCATAATGGCAGCATGCCAGGAAGAAGGAACCTGAGGTCTTTTGGGTAGCATGGGAGAGCAGAGATCACGAAGGAGTATATGGGTGAATGTAAATATAGTTATGGGGTGGGGCAGGGTAGCACCTTAGAAACTAACTGGTTCAGAGAAGCATGCACTTTTGTAAGCAGCAGCCTACTTTGTTAGATACAAGGTGACAAAGTAGGTTGTTGCCTACAAAACCTCATGCCTCTCTGAACCAGTTAGTTTTCTGCCTGACTTGAGATTACTGTGGCTAAGCACCCCTCTCTCAGTGTAGCTAAAATATTTAAACAGGTTCAACCAAAATGATCCTCTTGAGCAGTCTTAAAATGAAAGAGAACAGTGTGGGTGGAGAGATGAGCGGGATAGTTGGAAGAGTGCATCAGTGATAAGACTAAAAGAGTGCAGGTGATCTGGGTTCTATTCCCTGTTTTGACACTGGCCTGCTGGGCTACATTCAGCAAATCACTTAATCTCCCCTGTGCCACAGCTTCCCCATCTGTAAAATAAGTATACTTGGTGCTCCGAGATCCTTGGGTGAGAAGTACTGTAAGAAGTACTTGTGCTTCTATGATAAAAGTAACATTCATAGAAGAGGGTGACTGGCCAGCTGCATGTTCAAAACATTGCTAACGTGTCAGTATGAATTGTATGCTTGCAGTTCATGCACTAGTGTGGCTTCTCTGAGCTTAAAAGACAATTAGCATGAGAACAATTGCTCTCGGTGATGGTCTGAACTGGGATGTTACTCTAAAGCTAAATTAAATATTAATTAGTGGTCAGTGAAATATTACAGTTTAGTAGTTATTTAAATTTTTCAGGACTTGGTCATTTGGCAGTTTCCATAATTCATGCTCATGGACAATGAATTAATTCAGAGTTCCTGGAAATCTGGATACTTAGCATTTGAGGGCTAAGTTTTGACACCTCTTTCTGTGTCTTCCAGTCTGTGGACACATCTATACCAGGGATGTCAAACACATGGCCCATGGGATGGATCTGGCTTGTGAGAGGCTGGGAACTTGAAGGAAGGACCAGCACGGGTGGGGTGCACTGCTGAGATCTAGGGTAGGGTGCCCTGTTGTGGATGCATGTTGGCAGCAGCGGGTGAGCAACAGTTCCTCACCATGTTGCTGGAGGTGGGTCTGGATCAGGGCCATGAAGTTCCTTGGGGTCTAGATCCAGCCCACAAGGAGCTCCACCACAGTCTGGATCTGGCTTGAGGGGCCTGACAAGTTTGACAGCCCTAGTTTACTCTGCAATGGCAGCAGCATATTGTAGACATAACCAAGCTAGCTGCAAACTAGCACAGGTGTTGGCAGCAATCTGGTTGCAGTGTCCTGGGACTTAGGACGGGTTGCAAGACTTCCTGAGGTGATGGGTCACTAAACAAACAGTTAGCCAACACTAAACTGCTTGTGTCCTGGCTAAACTGCCTCTTTGCATTGCTGTGTTGACATACCCTGAATTGATACGTGTACGCCTTTGTCTACATTTATCCAGTCACAATGGACGACTTCAGTAAAGTTTGCTTACCATTTGAGGAAACATTTAGAGATCAAGTAACCTATGCTTTGCCTTTCCCAGAGGTGATGTGAACAGACTTTGACAACCGTTTGTTAGGGAAGCTTTTAGTAGGAGATTATCAACTTGCATTTATATAATTAGTATGGTTTAGGACAAGAGCCTCTTATAGGTTTAATAATAAGTACATAGAGGGATTACTTTACCTATCTCTCATATGCTTCTATCTGTGGATTGGAACAAGGCAATTTAACAGAGAAACTGCATGTTGAATGGGGGACACTAGAAAAGGCTGTCCCTCATAGAAACTACTGTAGAATGTTACTTTTATGTTAATTGCAGCTTAGCTGAAGTGTTCTTATTTTTGCTCTTACGAAAACAGCTATTGGACTGTACTGATGCAAGTCATAGGATGTCTGTTTTTGCACCTGCCAAAGTTAGTGACCTTTAGAACAAATCTGATATAGATGCTAGGGTGAATTGCCAATATGTCAGTCTGACTTGGTGTTTTAGTACAGTTCAGGTGATAGAACAATGTGGCTCTGGTGAGCTTAAACTCTGGCAGGTTCACAGTAAATGGCTTCAGAGATTGTGGTTGAAGCCTTCAGGCTCATTTTAATGCCAGTAATCTGTTAATTTAGATACCTAATAGTTAGTTTGGTATCACTGTGTTACAATGTGTAAAGTTCTTCATTGAGATCTACAGCTCCAGGGTCAAAACTGTTGCAGCTTGGCCTATGGCTGTAGTAATGTTGTAATGAAAAGTTTGGCAGTAACTTAAAAAGAACACACATTATCTAAGAGAGAGTCTGACTGAGATTTGTAAGAATTCCTTTCTACTTCTGAAGCTGAAAATAAAATAAATGCAGACAAGAAGATGGAAAGGGTGTTTTGTGTGTCCCAGTAAGTAAGTAGATTACTAGAGTAGTCTGGCATGCTCTGGAAATCTTGGGATCATCACATTTAAATACCCTCTCTAGAGCAACTAGAGTGGTCTTACTCTGGAATCAGAGGGTGCGTCTTCATGTTCATTAATGCACCGTAGTTATGGCACATGCCCAGAGAGTATGATCAGAATTGCTAGTTTCCCAAATTGGAAAGATTATTGATAGGCGTGCACTGAAACATTTTCTTGGCCAATACCAATGGCCAGTTATTAACCAGCCATATTGGCTGGTACCAG